TGCTAAGTAATCCCATATTGCTAAGTATTTCGCATATTTAGTAACCTTGAATTCGCGAAGGAAATTCCCTTTTCCATGCCTGTGTCATCTGCACCTGTTAAATAAATCCTTGTACTGCATATCCCTCATTAATGTCCCTAGAAATCCCCATAGCCACTAACACTGATTAAAAGCTATGTTACAGTTTAATAGATATTTGGCTGGATGCTGTGCCTCATCGTCTAAGAATAACGTAGTCAAAATAATTGACCGACCAAGATTTCTGGGAAAGACCTATTGCCCGAGTCCAGATCTTTCCCGGACCCAGCCCCAGATGATATGCCAATCCAGATATCTGAGTAGACATAGTAGCTGATGTCCAGGTCTGGCCTGGCCGTTGCAAAGAATCTCCTATCCTTTCCTTGCCATGTTATACTAAAGCATTGAAAGGATGTGTTACAGACAGACAGACAGACAGACACACAAAGCTGGGTGAATATATGTTAATTATACTACAAAATTTACTTCAAATTATCAGTTGTCTAAAAATTATTTTTGCTTACATACATACATAAACATAAATGGAGATACGTCGCAAAATTCAATCTAAATTAACTAAATGTATTTTACGCGTAGTATATATTTCTATAATTCGTACTGCAACAATTTGCTGAGAGAAAAAGTTACAATTATTTACTTGCATAATTAATATCAGGGCTGATATACTTTATTTTCCATTGCAGTTTTCTAGATACTGTTATGCAAATACGAAATTCAAGAAATTTGATTTTTTTAAAATTTTATCTTACGGAAATTTGAAGAATTTTTCAGGTCGGGGCTGGGTGTTATGCAAGGTTGATTTAAGTTGAGGTAAATGTTATTCCAAATTATGCAAATTATCAGCATATCCAAATTATCGAACGGAATCCCCACCACATGTTCACACTTACTTGTCATAACTATGTGCCACACTAACCCCTGAAACAATTTTTTTCCTTTCCATAGCAATAAATTCCCATCCGAATTCTCGTAGACTAAATTTTTTTTAATCACATTTTTAGAAAGTTCGGACTTGCACAATTATGTCAAGAAAACTCAAATTAAGAAGAAAGTATGGGCACCCTTACTGAATGCCTAGGTATAATACATAAAGTGTAAATATTCACTTTTGCTAATAATAAAATTGTGTATATATTTCAGCAGCAAAATAAATATGTTTGCAATGCTTAATGTCTAAGACATTATGTCTTACTATAATAAGAAACGTCCCAAGTTTTGTTGAATATTACATATACTAAAGAAGAAGAAGAGAATTGCTACTTTATTTTGCATTCAAATGTTATGCAAGGGAATTTTCCAATTTGTTTTTTTTTTGTTTTCAACTAATTCCACCACATAAGCAGGGAACTTGACTTATCGTAATTATTATAACAATATTGGTGCATCAACGACGATATTATTTATCTTTAATAGTCGAGCTAGGTTGTAACTAAAACTTGAATAAAGCCAAAGACTAAATTTGATATAATTTTCTTATTTATCAGGTTTTTCTTAGGTAACGCAAATTAAACTTGTCATAATTCGCAAAAATCCTAAAAATTTCTTTTTACGAGGAGATATTCACATTTTCTAAGATTTCAAGAGTTCCCCGGGTACGATTTTCTTGAAACTTGCTAAGAAATTTGATAATGCATACTTGAACTTAATCCAACTATCAAAATACTTGCGGTCGGAAAATTAAACTTGTCATAATTTGACAGAATCCAAAAAATTCCCCTTTACAAGGAGAAATTCACATTCTCCCGAGTTCAAAAGTTCCCCGCGTACGATTTCTTTGAAACTTGCAGGGATCTTAGATTATGCATACTAGAAGATAATTCAATCATCAAACCACTTGCGGCCGGAAAATTAAACTTGTCATAATTTGACAGAATCCAAAAAATTCACTATGTTAGGCAAAAATTCACATTTTCCCAGATTTCAAGAGTTCCCCACGTACGATTTCTTTGAAACTTTCAGGGAATTATTCTCCTATGTGTCTGAACATATTTCAGTAATTAAATCATCTGCGGTCGTTGACTGGAGCGTGCTAAAATTAATAATGTAAAAAAATGGGCTGGGCTGGGCTACGATGGGCTGGGCTAACTTCCAATAGATGGTTTCCAGGTTAAAATTAAATAGTTTTGTAAAGGTTAAACCCTAATCTCAGAGTTTACTAACGCTGATCGCGTGTATGGACATAAATATTTGAGATCACGAAAAATAATCGGACACAAGTGTTATCCTGATGAGGCTGCATTTCCGTTAGAAAATGGACATTGTGTCGCAGAGTCTCCTCAACTTTTGGAAAAATCGATTGTGTCGATGAATAATTTAAAGGTTGCCTTCTCTCACTCGCTTATGTAATTTTTTGTATATTATATAAGTAGATGAACCAGTGTTTCCTCACGAACGTTTTTTTGGCTTTAATTGTCTTTTAAAGTTTCGTTATGTCGATCTTGTAAAATAATTTGGGAATTGTAGTAAAATTTTGGGTTGAATAAGGCAGAAAATTAGTACTTGTGTAAATATTTTTTTAAACTTAAGTAAATAATAATAGTAAACTTGTAATAATAAAACATTTGGTTGATACTAATATGTGGTGCGTGCCCCGAGAGAATCCCGTAGTTACTAGAAATTTATTAGGTGAATTGCCAATTATGGTAGGCTGACGGCATTGCTCACCAACCACATTAACTATCCGCACGGTTTATGTGGCTGGTGAGTAACCCTAGTGAATTGAGTTCCATATCCTATGGTGTCCAGAAATAATAGGCTGGAAGGACTAGGCTACTTTAGCATCATTTTTGGGCCACCAAGTTTTATTCCTTATTTCTGACGGGTATGATGATAAATCAATAAGGTAAAGTTGAAAAAAATTACCCGCAACCACTTTTTTCGGTCCAAAATTGAAATCCTCGAAAGACCGTTTTTTCGGGCTTCGGCGGGTCATATCTTTAAAACCGATTAAAATACAATACACTACCAAATAGGAAAAATGAAGGTACTTATCTGTGGTATCTAAAAAATATCACTTCAACTCGTGGAAACATACCAAACGAAAATTATCCAGTTAAATGTCAAAGTCCTACCGAAAAAAAGCAAGAAATTTTCATGTCGATTTTGCTTAATTTCTAGACCTTATTTTATAGCTAGGATATGTTCACGTAACATATCAAAAAATCAGTGGTGGGGTGTCTTATAGTTCTTTTTCTAAAAATCGCCGAAGTTCGTAAAATAACAATAAAAAATATTCGATCGAATATGTTTTACCGAAAAAAGTGGTTGGGGTTAATTTTTTTAAACTTTACCTTATTGATTTATCATTCTCCCATCATACACGTTAGAAATAAGGAATAAAACTGGGTGGCCCAAAAATGATGCTAAAGTAGCCTAGTCCTTTCCCATAACTACCAAGTTATTAGTTATGTATCATACATAGTTTTCGACGTGATTTGAAATAACGACTTTAGTTTTCTCATACCATGCAAATATATATTACTGGCAGTTAAGCCCATCGTAACGACGGGTCAAATATAAAATTTAAATCGACTGATGAAGATATATATATATATAGTTAGCCCAATGTTTTAACTTTCCGTAGCATTCTAGTACCCTGAAAGGCTCTAAGTGTCTGAACTCCACCTAGGGAGGTTCTATAACGTGGTTACCAGTCATATAACGTGGTTACTAATTACCAGTGATATAACGTGGTTACCAATTACCAGTCATATAACGTGGTTACCAATAATTACCAGTTATATAACGTGGCTACCAGTTACCAGTTGCATAACATGGTTACCATTTATATAACGTGGTTACCAATTACCAGTTGCATAACGTGGTTACCAGTTATATAACGTGGTTACCAATTACCAGTTATACAACGTGGTTACCAATTACCAGTTATATAACGTGGTTACTAATTACCCGTTATATAACGTGGTTACCAAATACCAGTTATACAACGTGGTTACCAGTCATATAACGTGGTTGCCAGTTATGTAACGTGGTTACCAGTTACAGAAATGACTAACTTCATAATCATCACTATAGTTGATAATCATAGTTGTACTTACATTATCATAATTGTACTTGATAGTAACTATAGTTATTATTGTGAAGTATAGTTATTATTATGCAATAAAGTTATATATATGACTATGACAGTATTATCAGCCTAGTTGCTATACTTACAAAATCATAAATACGTGGCTATGTGTTGTGATTGGCTAAGCCGAAATACCAACAGCCAATCAGAATGCAGGGATGTCACGGAAAATTTCAACGTGACGGGTTTTTTGAAATTATAATATAGATAACAGACTTTATTAGGTTGGAAATTTATTATGACTTTAGGGAATTTAGTGATTTCAATAAATTCATTTAAATAATTTGTCAAGTTACAACTCATTTATATGTTTTGAATTGCTTTGTAATGGTTAAGCAATTTGTTTTGCGTATGTACGTAATTACGTATTTACGATGGCTCCCTGGATACTGGGGAATATTAATCTAAATTGGTATGTATTCCGTAATCCATATCGCTTGATTAACTTATCAAGTAATAAAACAGAGTTGTGTTAATTTCGCAGAAAACAACCTGGATAAAAACTATATTTTGTCCTAATGATTGTGAATACGTGCAGTATCTATCTATCCACAATAACGTTGTTGGGTAATAATTTCCGATAAAGTGGATTAACTAAATGCGCCAGACACGGGATATCTTTATGACTTGAAATTAATTTAATAAACCCCTCTTGACTAAATATATAACGCATAGAAAGGTGAATTGCGCAACGATCCCGATATTAAACGTTACCGACCAAGCCAAAGTCCTCAGTCTGCTAGGAGGACAAGCCTAGTCAAAATGTCACTGAAATTCGTATCCTTCACCCTCTGTCTCTCTTTTTCTCTTGGATTTATCCAGGAGATCACGTTCTACACGGAACTAGCGCTGGCGGAAATGGGAGCCGGCGATCTCGGCAACACCAGTTCTTCTTGACATGTGAAATCGCTTGCTACAAGGGATTGTAAGATGGCTTATAATAAGTATGATTAATATTTGTATTTGAATTAGTTGTAAATTTAATGCCAAGTATAAAGTAGAAACCGTAAATAACTGGATGTAGGTGTGTAATTTGCTATCCATTACAAATTGCGCTGGTATTTTCAGCTGGCAAGGATTCACTGGGACAAATTACACTGTTGGTTGGGCCCTCAACTATCTTTCCAGCGATGGCAATTTGCGTTGCGTTAACACTACGCTTAATCCCACAATGTCGTTGCGATATACAGGACCAGCGGACGTAACGACGCCTTCCATTTCAATCTACAGCGGTAATCCTGACACCAGTACGGGTGGCGTGGAACGAACTTTTACCAGTTTAGCGGCGACCAATTTTGGGTTTGTCCCGAAATGGATGGTCCTCACGGGAGGGTCAAGCTGGACTGGGTTTGCCAACGAAGATTTTTCGGGGAACTCGACCTGCTTCACGGGGTCTGGGCTAATGCACCAAGTCATTTTAAACCAAATAGAGAGAAGGTCGGTAATCAAGGGATGCGATGCCAAATATAGGAGTGTTTACTATGAGGCGGAATAATTGTTGGGAATATCATTCATGAATTTAATGAAATTAATATTTCTAATGTATCTAATAAAAAATGTATATTCGAAATAAAAATAGTTTATGGTAAATTGCAGATGAAAGTTTATTAAGCAATTGCCTGTCAAAATTATCGTCAAAAATGTTATATGACGTGGTGTCTTAGACCACGCTAAACTGTAACCAGTGCTGTCTCAGTACGGCATTAGAAAACGAAAGATGTTTAGGCGACACCACTATGAAATTAATAAGTCTACAGGATTACCTCACACATAATTGTATGTGAGGTAATCCTGCACAAACATTGCGTATTATGATGCCATTATAAATAATTAGTAAAATAAAAAATTGAGTAGATTTGTTTGTATAAATAAAAAATAGGATAGAATTAAATACATCCCACCAATACAAATAAGGTCACCCCTGGAACAAAACTAGTCAAGAAATATGAGTGGGTAGTAAAGGAAAATATTAAGTGGCAACAGCACGTCACATTGTGACGAGACTTGATTTATGGGTCGTAGAATTAAATGGGTGTATTTATGTATTTTGTACTTAATTTCAATTCGTCATTCAGCACGCGATGAGGCGGTGCGTATTTGTTTTGTCTGCGTAAATTTGAGAAGATTAGGAAATTCCTGGAATCTATTTATTTGTTCGCCCTGATCTAAATACTTTTCCTATGTTTAGTTGCAAATTGTAGTGATGATATCATCCTGGACACAAATTTTTGGATTAAATAGATAACAAGTAACGTAGATATTTATTTAATCCATAAATAGTTTATCCTGTTATACCAATAAATGGAATGAGATCTGCGTAATAAGTCGAGTATAAAACGTGCTCGGTTTTGTCCAGAGTCATCAGTACATTATTCAGATAAGCCTAGATAACAAGGATTTTATAAACTACCCAATTTTTATCGAAATGTTGCTAAAATTCGTATCCTTCGCTCTCTGCCTCTCTTTTTCCCTCGGTTTTGTCCAGGAAATCATGTTATACACGGAACCCGACGCTGGAGGGAGTGGGCTGATATTCCGCACGAAAGAGCCGGATCTCACGCAACACCAGTTTATTTTGAGGGATGTAAAATCCTTTTGCTCGAGAGGATAGTAAGGATTGTGTACCCAATTTTGTTATTCAGAGTATAAAATTGTGATGATTTTTCCCAGTTGGCGAGGGTTTTCTGGGGTAAATTACTCCATTGCGTGGTCATTCAACCACCATTCTAGGGATGGGGAACTGCACTGTGAAAATGCCGAACTTCCTGCCACGATGTCATTGCGGTATTCAGGACCAGCGGACGCATCCACGCCTTCCGTCTCAATCTACAGTGGAACTCTGGGGACCATTACGGGTAACGTGGAACGAACTTTTACCAGCATATCCGAGACCAATTTTGGATTTGTACCGACATGGATGGTCATCACGGGGGGGTCAAGTTGGACTGGGTTTGCCAACGAGGACTTTACCGGAAACTCGACCTGCTTCACAAGTTCGTATCTATTGTGGGGTTTCGATTTAAGGAATATAGAGGTAAGGTCGATCGTTAAGGGGTGCGATGCAAGGTATGGGAGTGCTTATTACGATGAGGATGCATCGATGGGATTGTAATTTGGTGAGGATAGAAATGGAAAAATTAGTTTAAATTATGAAATTACTATTGTAATAAATATATTTGAAAGAAGAAAGGTTTATTGTAAATTTATCCAGCGTGATGTTTACATATTATCGATATTATAATTCAAAAAACCCAGATAAGCTCCATGTTATAACATCCGTAACATTCCGACATTCTGTTTGCCTGCTGGGATTGTATGCATACCTGTTCAAAAAAAATTTATTCATTCATTTCGAAATTCGTTTTCAACGGTTTTTAGCAACTCTATTGAGAGAAAGTCAGGTAGATTAAAATTAAATGAGTTGTTTTGAGTCGTTCAACTCAAAATGGGGATAGGTGATGGCATACCTATTCAAAAAAATTTGATTCATTGAAAATTCATTCATTTCAAACTTCAATTTAAATGAATCACTCGAAATTCATTCATATTGATGAATTATTCATTCATTCTCACTTCGCTCTATGTATTAAGCATCCACGCAGTCCGTCTCTATCTACAGTGGAACTCTGGGGACCATTACGGGTAACGTGGAACGAACTTTTACCAGCTTGTCCGAGACCAATTTTGGATTTGTACCGACATGGATGGTCATCACGGGAGGGTCAAGTTGGACTGGGTTTGCCAACGAGGACTTTACGGAAACTCGACCTGCTTCACAAGTTCGTATCTATTGTGGGGTTTCGATTTGAGGAATATAGAGGTAAGGTCGATCGTTAAAGGATGCAACGCCAAATATGGGAGTGTTTATTACAATGAGGATGCATTGATGGGATTGTAATTTGGT